TCCTCTTTCTTTTTTCCTTCCTCCTCTTTCAATCTTTTTTGTTCCCCTAAGCACATTATGTATTGCTTATATGCACTTTGTCCCATAGCAACAAGTTTTGATGTCATGGGAACCAGTTCAGATTTATTTCCATAGGTTTTCAATGTATCTTTGATCAACAAAATTGCATTCAATGTTCGTTCACAAGTGGAATGCTTTGTCCTCAGTCAAAGCCCATCTTGACACAGAAAAACGCCTCTCAATGTCTGTATTTCCATGTGATAGAGACAATACAGTCTTGATAAGTTTCACCAACTCTTGATATCCCCCCCCCAATACATTACTTTTCTTTAAAATTTTATCCCCAAAACTATCAATTCTCCCTTCAAAAGCTGGGCAGTCTGTCTCCATGTGCAACATTTTCCATTCATCAATGAGAACATCTTCTTTTGTATCAATAGGGAGTTCTCTGGCAACTGAAACTACATCTTGACAGCTTTTTTGGCTTTTCACAAGAGAAGGGTTTAAACATCTCAGAGCTTTCAGCAAAGCACAACCTTTTCAATCAAGTATTTGCATCCAGCAACATAATGCTCTTTAGCATTTTTCATTAACACCAAGAAATCTTTTTCTGGAAGATGTGAAAGTTCCTTTTTAACTTCCCACGAAACAACAACATCTCTCATGGGTAACATGTTTTTCAAATCAAATAACTCATTCAGATCATAGTTATCTTCAGAAACAGACTTGCAAACATGTCTAGCCAGTTTCCCTAACAGTTCTTGTAGCTGAGGGTATAGGATGTGAATTAAAGGTTCATCTCGTTGGAATCTTTTGGTGAAGCTAGTGAAAAGTTCTGCAGAAGATATAGTGAAATACAATTCTGCTCTGATAGTTGAGCAATGTAAAAAATTGGCGATCTTTCTTTTCTGTATGAACTAGAGTGTAAGACAGCCTGATTCTTTGCTGATGGAATTACTTTAAGAAAGTAATGATTTACTCCTTCCCATTGTTCGAGCATTCTCTCGGCAGCAGAGCAAAATGTAAGCCACCTAGAAGGAGAATGTTTGAGGAATTTCGCAGACACGAGGCTGGAAATTCTGTGAAATGGGTTTCCCCCCTCAAAAAGCAGCCATATGTGGGCACCAGGTGGTAAACCATGTTGGTCTGAAGCAGGAGAATAAATCTAGAGTCCAGAGGCACCTTTAAGATCAACAAAGGTTTATTCAAGGTATGAGCTTTTGTGTGCATGCACACATTTTCAAATACGTTGGATATATCTTAAAACATCTTCATCATGTTGCATATTAACTTGCTGTTCAGCCTCTGTCTATAAGTTTGAATTCTACTTTCGTTCCAATGTATTTGAAAAAGTGTGCATGCACACGAAAGCTCATACCCTGAATAAACCTTTGTTGGTCTTAAAGGTGCCACTGGACTCTAAATTTGTTATATGTAGGCACCATTAGGCTTGGAGCCATAGCATGAAGCCTTCCTCTTCCAGTCCTAATTTCTCAACCAGAAATGGCCTCACAGGTCTACTATTTGCCCTATTAAATAAACATGCAGATACTGATACATGACAAGAAAACAGTATTGGGAGAGGATCTTAATTCCCTCCCCTTTCCCTTGTGCTGTAGTTCCAATCTAACCTGGTTCCAGTTGGGCTTGCTATTTAAATGAGGACCACTGAAAGCTTAATTTGTAGAACTCCCAGCAAGATGTTTTCAGTCATAATCTCATCATCATATTGTGGTAACATACACGCTCCCCTCCCCTCCCCTGTTCAGTAGGCTTACTTCTTATTCTTAGTCTTCTCCCCCCCCCACACTTGACATGCACTGGACAATGAGCTGGATCCAGCAACGGATTTTTCTGGACACAAGGGGGCCATGATTTTTGCTGATTTCCCCTCCTCCCTCCTCATGCTGTTCGGGGAGGGGGCTATCCCCCAGAAGCAGCATTTTGGATGGCATTGTGGATTGCGTCAGGAGGGAGGCTGTCAGTGGAATTTATCACTGGATCTAAGCCAAGACATGCATATATTATCACTGGCTACCCTTCGCTTCTGGGCACAATTCAGAGTCCTGGATCTTAATTTTAAGGCCCGAAATGGCTTGGGTCCAGGGTAACTGAAGGACCACCTCCTCTCATACGCTACAGCCCACCAGTTAAGATACGCCTCTGTAGCCCCTGTACTCCGTGCCTCTGTCTTCAGAGGTGAGGCGGATGGAGACTAGGGACAGGGCATTTCTGTGGTGGCACCTTACCTTTGGAATACCCTTACCCTTGAAGCTCACCTGGCACCTACTTTACTTTCTTCAAGGCATCAGGCCAAAGCACATCTTTTTACCTAAGCTTTTAATCAGGGGGTCATTTTACCAGCTTTCTAATGGTCTGACCTGTTTTTATGGATAGTTTTTGTTTTACTTATGTCTAATGCCTTATATTCTTTTTAATAGCCTATGGTTTTTAAGTATAAGTCAGCACAAGCAGGACTCTGAAGAGGCAGCACAGAAATATTCTAAATAAATAATCTGCTTTATCGCTCAGTATTGTCTACTCTGACTGGCAGCTGCTCTCTGGGGTCTCAGGAGGGGAAAAGGTCCTTTCTATCATCTGCTACCTGAGAAGAAACTGGTACCTGAGATTCTGAATCAGGGACATTCTGCATGTAAATAGGGTTGCCAGCTCTGGGTTAGCAAATTCCTGGAGATTTGGGGGCAGAACCTGTGGAAGGCAGAGTTTGGGGAGGAGAGGGAACTCAGTGGGGTTGTGATTCCACAGAGTCCCAGCCTCTGAAGCTGCCATTTTCTCCAGGGAACTGGATCTTCATAGACAGGAGATCAATTGCAATTCTGGGGAAACTCCAGCCCCCACCTGAAAGTAGTCAACCCAACATGCAAAGCATTTCTGTGCTGCTGATTCATGGCCCTTCCCCAAAACAAACATCCAACTTCAAACAGCTTCGCAGCTCATGGAGCAGCCAACGTAGGGGTGAGATTAAAAAATAAGGTACTAGATCCTGCCCCCCCCAAAAAAAAACATTTTCTGCTACACAGTCAGAGACCTTGGAGGAAGAGGCCAGAAATTACATATAGACCAAGGCTGCCATGACAACTGGAGCAAAGGAAAGGGAATTCATTCATGGGTAGGCAACTCCTGAAGTTTATTCCAGTGAATTAACATTGTCTGTCCTGCAGATTTCTGCAAAATGTTGCAAGTATCTAGTTGTACATATAAAAATCTGAAAGCTTAGATTCTGCCCCCACCCCAATTCTACCTATGACTACCTAGAAGAGCTATCAGTCAGAGTTCCAACAGCAATGCATGCTTTTAGGCAAAAATTAAGTCTTGACTGGATCATTATTGTAAATATAACACAAAATGTTATTTCACATAAGGTTGCCAAATGCAATAACAATATATATCTTTACAGACAAAAAAAGCCATGCAACAGTCCTTCGAAGCAGCTAAATATAAAACTTTTCAAAGCTCTGAACTCTGAAAGACCATAAGGCTAAGAGGAAAAATAAATCAATGGACGGGTGCCTCTTCTAATAGAAACCAGACTAGAAGTCTTGCCACAGACTTTCAGAAAACATACAGGCTCTTTTCTTGAAGAGCTAAATTGGGCATCTGACAGTAAACAAAAATATAAGGCTTGAGCTATTTTAAAACCACACTGGCAGAGAAAACTGAAGGAAACCCTCTTAATTGGTTGAAGGCCTTTGCCAAATAAAGGTCGCAAACAGATCATGCCAGCGACCCGGATGAGAGCAAGTCATCTTGTGATCATCTGAACTATACCTACTTCAGAACTTAACAAGGGCTATTTTACTTGTGCTTTAAGATTTGACATCTTACACAATTACGGAATACAGCATCATCTTGAAACAAGTCGGCTTGCCACATGCTAGTGAGAGCAACAACATTAAATGATGACAACCTGTACTAGGGTCTAGATGTCAATCATACCTTAGAATGACTCGGGGGGGGGATAAAAAGAAAATGCAAGTTGCTAATTCAACAACGTCTGGCCTTGAAGCTTCTGCCTCAAGCCTGCCATTAAAAATTTGAATAAAGTCTGTGTGGGAAAGAGGAAAAAGGGTGCAGCAGATGGGTGGATAATACAGAAATTATAAATAATACTCATACAAGTCTGTGCTAGTTCAAAGATTCATTAGAAGAATTATGGCTGTAACATGAGATGGATGGTTAAGGGGTAAAAAGTGGCTAAACCGGTATCTCAGTATTCACCTGAAAACCACCTACACATTAGCCGAACCTAACTGTGTTTATAAGACTACCATTCTACTGTACTGCTATCATCCATGCACATATAGGAGAGTCCACAATCTTGTTAGTGTGCGTTAACAGTCCAGAATAAAGACAGACAGATATCCTACCAATTAAACAGTTTTACAATAAATGGTCTCCGCTTGGAGGTACAGGTGTTAGTAATTGGCCTCTTGTGGCATAAACATCTTGTGCATTTATAAAACAGCTGCTGAACTTCAACTCAGATTTACTAAAGGCACTGCAAATGTTCAAGTTTCTGCAACGAAAGTTTCATAACTCAAGGAAAAGACAGCAAAGAAACCCAAGCCAGAACAACAATCAATTTTGGCCTCAACAAAAGGAAGCCTAATAACTTCCTTCCCTTTCTGTAGGACAAAGTCAATACTTCAAACGCCCACAGGGGAGTATTAAAAGTAGATGACAGACTAGCTTGGTTTCCCACACCTTCCGATCTCTACCAAGGTGTTGGTTCTTAAAGGCACTTGAATCAACAGGCTCTCTGCTGCTTTTCATGCATCTCTCTATGCTGCTTCAGAAAAAAAAATCTACTAATTTCTACACTAGAATTACAATAGAATCCTATGCAGAGTTGCCGTAACCCAAGCCCACTAATTTCAATGAGCTTAACCTGCAGCCAATCTGTTTAGGATTGCACTGCTATGCCTTGTATATGGCTCGTCCTCAAATGTAAGATCAGACAGGAAAACACACCACTCTCACCAGCTGTTAGGGTGGTTTTAGCGCTCTGAATAAGACTGGAGGATCTCACAATTCCTGAAATGCCTGGACAGAAAGAGAAAAGGGATAAACAAACAGATGTTATCCATCACATAATTAAAAAAAATGTTACAAGTCAAATATTTTTGCAGTAATACCATAAACCCAGCATGGCAGCATAACTTTGCTGTTATTTTACCCAACTATGTTTATCTTTCTTTTGTAAAGTAGCTTCAAAAATTCATTCCAATGATTCTAATATATAGATCACATATATTTGCATAGAAAAATAATTCTGAAGCTTGTGGCACACATTATAAAGAGGCAAATTTAGATTCTACCATTGGGTGTACACTAAAAAAAACAGCAAGCTGCCATTCGTAGTGCTGTTGATTTTCGCACAGCAACCAGCCCATTGTGACCTATGGTCCATTATCTCTCAGCTTAACCTACCACACAAGGCTGTTGTGAGGATTAAATAGATAATGTTGTGATGATCAAATAGATAAGCAAAGAACCATATATACTGCCCTCAGGTCTCTGGAGGAAGGGCAAGATAAATGTGATATAATTTATTTTTTTAATGTATCTTTGCAAACAGCTTTTGTTGCTCTCCCAATAACATGTGAAGTGGCCCTGAATATTACTTATCAGGGTAAAATACTTTCCAACACAACAGATGGATTAGATTAATTAGATAAGCATATGGAGCAGAGGTCCATCAGTGGCTATTAGCCACAAGGTATAGATAGGGACTCTGGGGCAAGTGATGCTCTGTCTTCTTGGTGCTTGGGGGGGGGGGTCAACAGTGGGAAGGCTTCTAATGTCCTGGCCCCACTGGTGGACCTCCTGATGGCACCTGGTATTTTTGGCCACTGTGTGATACAGAGTGTTGGACTGGATGTGCCTTTGGCCTGATCCAACACTGGCATCTCTTATGTTCTTATGGCTCATGTTAACTCATGTGTCTCCCCTTTTGAACACATACTGGCATGTTGCCAAATATATATATATGTGAGCATCTTTGAAAGAAATACTTCCTCTTTCATGGTGGTTTCGTCACTCATTACTACTTATATATTTTCTACTTTCATGACACGTGCTTGTTCACAGTTTTAAAGAATGGGTCTCTTTAAGGACCAAGAACAAAGCTCCTGTTCACATGTTTATAGTGGACACATTTATATCCTGCATATATGTGCACGAATCTGTTTGTTCACTACAAATGAAACTATGGGCAAGCACCTGGATAAATGTAGGGTTTAAAATCGCATGTTCAGCTGTGTGTAACATGAGAATTATTCAGCACACACAAAAACTCAAGTATACACTGTACACAGATCGCGCATATGCTCACTGCAACTTGAGAACAGGATTTGTACAAGTGACATTGCATACATTCCACCCACCATAAAGCTTTTTTAGCCTGAAGTCTCATTAACTCTAAATGAGAGTTAAAACATGTGCTGAGCTCTTTCCCAAGGAAATCATTAGGTCTTAAAATGGCTATACGTCAGCTGGATTGTACGCATTATTTTAGTTCCACTGATACAACACTGGTATGAAGTTTCACATTTTCTTTACTTTGCTCAATGTCACAAACGTATTCAATAGGTCACAGTTTTGCCCACTTTACAGATGGACAACATTGTGTTTGAAAGACATACAATTCCCCCCCCAGCCAAAGGTCCAAGTGGGAAACACGCAAATACAACATACCATTGCCCACCTGCAGCCACTGGCCTGCTGGTGTAGCCATTAGGGCTGTATTTATTGGCTGGGACCCAAAGAACTGGGCAACTAATTCAGCATTGGTCTTAGAATTTCCCAAACATCAGCCTTCCATTATATATAGCCATTACTGTGATGGAGGTTGACTGGGATCTGTGAGGGCCACTACTTGTGCACTGGACTCTTACCCATCCTGGCTGCTAAAATCTTGTAGGGACCACATCAATAAGCTCTTGATATTTAACATAAATGAATCACTAACTCAGGGCACCTTTCCCCAGCCACTCAAAGGAGCAGTTATCCATCAATTACTTTAAAAACCATCCCTACACCAAAATGATGTGGCCAGTTATCTCTAATCTACCCTTTCTGGGCCAGGTGATTGAGAAAGCAGAAGCTGACCAACTCCAAGTCTTCTTGGATAACTCATCTACTCCGTTCCCTTTTTCAATCTCGCTTCAGGCCAGGCTATGGGGCAGAGACAGCCCTGATGGCTTTAGTTGATAATCTCCATCTGAACACAGAAAAAGGCCATGCTGCTTTGTTGCTCCTTCCAGATTTATATTTAGCCTTTGATACAGTGCACCATGCCATCTTGTTGAAGTATTTGGAGACATAAGTAGGCACTAGGGATTTGATCTGGACTGGTTCAAGTCATCCCTCAGACTGGACTTGAGGGGTTGCCATTGGAGGCCATTTGTCATCAGTGTGAGGCTGGTTCTCTGGGGCACATCCCCCATGCTATTAAGCCTCTATGTAAAGCCCTTAGGACAAATCATTTGTAGTTTTGGGGCTAGCTGTCATTAATGTGCTGATAATACTCCGCTCTATAGCTCCTTATCCAAATCTCCTACTCTACTCTATATCCCAGAAGTAAAGACTGTCCCACCCTTAGGACCACTGAACCTGAAGGACATTTTGCTTTTCCCCCTTCAATGAGGTTCAGCTGACCCTCACTGACTCAGGCAAGGGCCTTGGTGTCATACTAAATCCAAAATTACTGCTGGAGGAGCACGTGAATGCAGCTACAAAAAAAAATACTTCCAACCAATTTAGTTTAACTCAGAAGATGACCCCATACCTTGACGCAGCTAATCTGGCCAACTGGATACACACCATGGTAACACTAAGACTAAACCACTGTAATACAGTCTACATAGGTCTCCCCTCAAAAGCAACTCAGAGAATCAAGTTAGTACATAATGCCACAGCTCAGTTATCACGTGCTAGATGGACCATGCACGTTAGTCCCATTCTGCGGTCACTCCGCTGGCTCCCTAAGGTACTGGCTATCCCTACAGAGCACTGCATGGCCTTTGACCCCTCATATCTGTGGGACCACCTCTCCCCCTATGCTCCACCATGACAGCTTCACTCATCTGAGGAGGTACTTTTACAGGTGACAGCCTACAAATGGGCAAGATCAACAACTGCCTATACATACACATTTTCTCTTGTGGCCTCCACCTTATGGAACTGCCTGCCTGATGAGGTCAGAAAGGCTCCCGCTCTCCTGGCATTTTGCAAACTATGCAAAACTGAATTATTCAGGAGGGCATTTTTACAAAAGTAACAGGGCTTTGTTATAATGGAATGATTAAGTAAGAATGCCTTAATAAAGTGAAAGAGATTGTGGACTATACTACTGTGGTACATACCATCTGTTGGTGTACGTATTATCTTATTATGTACTTTACACATAGTTTAATGTGCTGTGTTAATATTTATGCCTTTAGCTTTGTTCCAGATGTTTACATTGTTTAATGTCCACAGTCCTAATCCTATTACACTGCCTACTGGATGTCCCATATGACTGACTGCAATGACTTACACTGTGTAATCCACCTTCAGTCTCAGTGCAAAAGATGGACTGTAAATACAAAAAAATAAAAAAAAATCAGGCTTTTCCCCCCAATATGATCAAACTTTCAAAAGTAGCTGATGATGGCAGGAAAACTGGAGGATGAGAAAGGTGAATGATGCTGACATTCAAAGGAAAAAAGTGAAAAATGCCAGTGAGCGTGCTCTTTGGATTCTGGTCCATCATTCCTACAATATCTTGCTTTATTTAAAAAAAAATATATTCTCCAAACAAGCCATCACCACGCTACAAAAGTCTGTTGTTTGGTATATTTTATACCTAAGAAAGCTATGCACTTTTCCATCTTGCAAATTTATTATAAGATAAAATTAAATCATATGATTTTTATGTCTTTTAAAGTTAATCACTACCTACAGGATTGATTCTTGAACATCAGCTCAATTAAGTGTCCTTTATTAATCATCAGTAAACCTACCCTGGTGCACTACCAATCCACAGTCAGGGTCATGGGCAACTTGCAATAAAATTTCTTCGACATCCCTGTTCTTCCCTGGAGGATCCATGAGATAAGTTATCTGTTGCTGCAGGGTCCTCGGCAGACCCATTAGTTGTGCGAATTGACCTTCTGGGCTCTTATCGATCTAAAGAGTCAGAAGAATGAACATACATCCTTTTTTAGTAACTTCGCAAGATTTCATTGTTACAGTTAGTAACCTAGATTCAGGTGGGTAGCCATGTTGGTCTGAAGCAGCAGAACAAAGTTTGCATCCAGTGGCACCTTTAAGACCAACAATGTTTTATTCTGGCTATGAGCTTTTGTGTGCATGAACACTTCTTCGGATTCTTCAGCTAGCAACTTACTTAAGGTTGCATGCAATGTTCCCTCTAAGCTGTGGAGTCTTGTGAGCAAAAATTCTCCTTTGTGAGCTACCGGCATTAAAGTGGTGAGCAGGTGATTTGGCTACTGCATCAGTTTGCTCTGGAGCCATCCTCCCTGAGCTAAGACGAAAACTGTGTGAGCCACAGGCTAAAAAAACTGTGAGCTAGCTCACACCAACTCAGCTTAGAGGGAACACTGGTTGCATGCAGACGTTGCGACAAGCTCCAATTAAGCCAGGGCGTGCAGAGACATGGCTTGCTGCTATGCTCACATGACCACCACAGTCATCCCCCTCCCTTCCCACACAGAGTGCAATCAAAGATTCCTGGTTTGAAGCAAACTCTGCTTCCTTGTGACAGACAAACGCAAGTGCCTGCAGGAATCGAAAGGCTATTTACACTCACAGGGATTCTGTGCCTGGATTAATCCGTAGAACAGAACCCAGACTTATGGGAAATCAACAGCCTTTGATTCATCTGGGTATCTGCATTTGCACATCATGGCGAACCAGAGCTAGTTTTAAACCAGGAATTACCCTGTGTGTGGGGCAGGACGGAGTATATGAGTGAGCAAGGGGAGCTTTTCTAAAAGTCCATTGGGTTATCTACCCAGCAGCCCCTTCCCTAAAAGAGGAATAAGCAACAAAATGAAATCAAACTTTCATATTATTTTGAAAGATGCCCAAGTACACCAGGCACAAAAAAAAAAACCCTTACAAATTCATCCAGAAGTATTTATACCTCTGCGAGCACCTAAAAAGTGCCATGGGACTCTAATATCCCTATATTTTTATTCCAATCATTCAGGAACATCTTAAAATCAAAATGGGAGCTCTTGTACAGCATCAGTCCCACAGCTGTAAACTGAGCACTGCAATGAAGCCCACCAGCGAAAAGGAAGAGGGGTTCTGCCATACTCATAAGCAACTGAATCCCCGGTTCTCCTTTCATCTGCACCCAAGCCAGAAGAGGATGAGGCTTGTGTTGTAATACCGCTGTGGAACCATCAAGACTTGAGGGTGGAGCATAAACCTTGTGGCTATAAAGCTAAGGAAAAGCAAGTGGTGGGTGAATGGGAAATTGGGGCCCTTCAGCTTTTTTCTAAACTGGGGAAGGACCAGGGAAGGCTATCAGACTCTCCATCACTTGCTCTGAAACTCTTTGACATTTCAAAGCTTTCCAAACCTCTTGCCAGTGAGATTCCCCTTCACTTCTAAACTATCCTTAAAAAAGACAGTAGTCTCCTCATCAGGGAGGTCAGCGGAGGTTAGGTGTGGGGGAGGGAAACATTCCTTCCCCACCACCATAGGGTGATAAGGAAATCACATTCAGGGATTCCTGTTGGCCATTAAAGAAAGATGTAGGGCAATCAGCCCTAAGTCTGAACACTTTTGTCACTTCATAACAGAGGTAGGGGAGGGAGAGGTTCAGGAGAAAGGGAAAGGAACCAGTTATTGTTTCTATTGTCACCTCTCCTGGAACCTTTCCTGCCCCCATCCCCAAAACTAGAGCACTGCATAGAGCATTATATGTTGCTGCTCACAGCCAACTAGAGACCTGTATGAGAGCACCACTTATAGGGGCTGGGGATATCACCCTACCATTTTGTTACTTAGCCCTTTCTTTTAGTGACCAAGAGTGAAGGCTAGAAGTTGCCAGTTCAAATTTTACTCAGCCACAAACTCAATAGTCTGCTATTCCATTGGAGGAAGAGTCCCTTAAAGCTGTGGTGTGCCTCAGGGGCGGTGCTTTCCCCGTTATTGTTTAACATCTATATGCGCCCCCTTGCCCAGACTGTCCGGAGGTATGGGCTGGGGTGTCACCAGTACACACATGACACCCAGCTCTATCTGATGTTGGGCAGCCGGTCGGACTCCAGCCCTTAAGAACTGGATCGGGCATTGCAAGCCGTGGCTGGTTGGCTCAGACTGAGCCGGCTGAAACTTAATGAAGACGGAGGTCCTATGCCTGAGTCAGAGTGGTTTGGGGATGGGGTTCCCTCTCCCAATCTTCGACGGGGCACCATTGGTGCCAGCACCTGTGGTGAGGAGTTTGGGAGTGCTCCTGGATCCCTCCTTAACTATGGAGGCCCAGGTGGCAGCCACTGCTAAGTTAGCCTTTTACCACCTCAGGCTGATTTGGAAGCTGGTTCCCTTCCTCGACCGCGATGACCTGGCTACAGTGACCCATGTGATGGTCACCTCGAGATTAGACTACGGTAATGCTCTCTACATGGGGTTGCCCTTGTCGCAAATCCAGAAGCTGCAGCTAGTGCAGAATGCAGCGGCCAGGCTTTTGATGAGTCTCCCTAGATGGGAACACATCTGGCCTGCGCTGAATGCACTGTACTGGCTGCCAATAGCACACTAAATTCGCTTCAAGGTGCTGGTACTTACCTTTAAAGCCCTTTATGGTCAGGGTCCGACATACCTGAGGGACCGTCTCTCCCCACACATACCCCAGAGAGCACTACGGTCTGGGGCACAACACCGGCTAGTGATTCCAGGCCCCAAAGAGGTCAGGCTCACCGCTACAAGGGCTAGGGACTTTTTGGTGGCGGCTCCTACCTGGTGGAATGAGCTCCTTGTACAGTTCCGCAGGGCCTGCAAGACGGAGCTCTTCCACCAGGCCACCCACCACTACCAGCAACTATTATTGTTAGTGACACCGGGGTGGTTGGTTGGCCCTATATGGAGATCGAACTACAGTAATGTCCGAGACAGGATGCCATCTTTAACACGATTGGAAGATCAATTCTATGCTAAGCCCTTTATTGTAATAATATGATTGTTTTATCTTGTTTTTATCTGGTTTTATATGTTTAATATATTTTGGCACATAGTGCCTTTAAATGTACGCCACCCTGAGCCCGTTCGTGGGGAGGGCAGGATAGAAACCCAATAAAATAAGTAATAAAATAAAAGTACTTGGTGGGAGACCTCCTTGGAATACCAGGGCTGGGACACAGAGGCAGGCAATAACAAGCCAACTCTCTGAAACATCCAAGTCCCACGAGGGGTCACCAGAAGTCAACTATGACTTCCAGGCACACACACAAAACCCTGAAAGCAGCATCAGGAAGCCCACTGTGAGGAGTGAAAGGATGGTAAACGGGCGGGGGGGATCCTCCCAGCTTCTCCGGCCACCTTTGTAGCCTCCAGAAGGCTGCTTTTCATTAAACCTCAGAATTGCACACATCAATATAAAATGTTGAGTTTGGCCCTCAGTCCTCCCTCTACTGTACAAGAATATGGTAAACAGCAAGATAACGAATATAAAGTGCTTCTAAAAGACCATAAAAATGCTACGCCATGATACTCTTGCACAATTCACACACTTACAAGAATGCAGTTGCATACTCTACTGCTCAGCATTTGTTTATTGGCTAGTTCTCTATGCAAAGTGTCAACAATACAGCCTAAAAGGTTTTCTTAAGAATTTAAATGATCGGGAGACAAGGCTCTTGGGCAAGTTTCAACCAGGCCTTTGTTTTCGAAATTCCCTAATGCTTTACTTAATGCTTATGACTGTGACTAGAGACTGGGCTGGCTACAGTTATCTGCTTTCACATTTTATACAAGGATGTACCAAGGCCACCATTAATATTAATAAGCACTGGTTAGGATGTTTTTGTGCCCGCAATAAAAGGAAAGGCTGCCAAACTCCCCATTATGTTAGCTGTCTACACTGTACACATTTCCATTCCTGAAAAGACCACAACAACCTGGCGACAAAATCAAACTGTGTCTTAAAATTTTTTTGTATTAATAGGACCAAGGCAATTCTATCTAATGTAAGGAGATGTAAGTGGGTGCCACATGTGGGTGTCATGGCACCTGCCAGTAATTCCCCTGGCACCTACCACATTTTTCAGAAAGTGAGTGTGGCCAACAGTAAGGGAAGGCTTGTGATTTGCTGCCCGCATTCCAATAAAAGGGTTTCCCAAAGCTTCAACAGCAGCTGCAGCCACTGGAGAATCAGGGGGACTTCTAAGCACGAGGATTTATGGCTCCATCCCCACTTCATACTTCCCATTTTATTTTCCCTCCCTCTTTTTCCAATCTCGGTTTTCTTTCTTTTCTTTCTATTTCTCTTCTGCAACTATTTTGCAGAACAAGTAGGGAGGTAATGTGTTTTGCTTTGCTTCCTGCAGCAGCCATTTTTGGTTTCCTTCTGCCTCCTGAAGCAGCCATTTTGGGGCTCATCACCCACTCTCAAAAGTCCAAAGATGTCAGTAGGCTCAAAAAGGTTGGGTACCCCTGAGGTAACAGAAGCCAAGGACTATCATCTCAAGACCACCACAACAAGTTTCACACACCATGAAGGAACTAGATGCAAGTTTCCTGAAGAAAAGCTGTTGACTACAGATTAGGCTCACAGATGGTGCTTTCCATTGAAGACAATGAGACCCCATTTGACACAAGGGTTCACTGGTTGAGGGTCTTGGTCTTTTCAGCTATCTAGGATATATTTAGCTTGTAGGTGGCAACACATTTCCAGAAGCTTTATTGACAATACATCATTATTACATTCAGGGCCTCTTAACAATAATGTAACTTGTAAAGAAGAACCTGAGAACAAACCACAGTGGATAACTGCAGTTATCACTTGGTAACTTACATGTATGAAACATATATTTATGGTTCACTGTTATTTATTGTGTCACATAATTACTAAACAATGGGTGCAAAATCTGTTCATAATAAAACCAATCACATGTTGGATAATCAAACTGAACGTGAAAGCTCACCCTGGTACTTAAAGCAGGAAGTCCAGCTGTGGAGGAGAAAGCATATACACACACAGTCATCATATAATTAATAGCTTAAAAGGTTTACAACAATGAACAACTTACCTCTAATACGCCCAGCTGGTGTTTGTATACCACTTGTGGGCAATCTTGCAAGATGTTGCTGTAAAGCTTCTGAAAATGCAACATGTTTGGCTTCACTATGTTCATAACTTTTGACTTGTCTTCCCCAATCATCATTCTGAAATCACCTAAACCCAAAGCAAGATGGTCAAAACACAGTTAACAGAAAGGCAGACATTTTGCATGAAGATTACCTCAACTTCTAACCATGGCCACAAACTGTGGTTTGGAGTTCAACACGATTAGCAAAAACAGTGCAGAGGTTACCACAGACCATGGAGAGCACCAAAAATCAAATGGGAGGGAGGAGAGTAGTGCACAAGCTCTCAGGGAACCTAACCCTGTCCGTACTGGGCCCATTTTGTTAGTTTTCAATAAGTAACTGATATCCTATATAATTTGATATGATAATTTTGTTTAATCTAGGGTAAACAGAGTTTAACCTAACCAGACCCTGGTTCATCACTTCTAAGCTCACAGAGGAAAATGTGTGTAAAGCTCTGGAAGAAAAATACCCCACTAGAGTGACATTTTATCCCAGAAGCTGAAACAGTTTTGCATATACTTAAAGTGCTACCAGAATGCTCAAATGTACAGAACTAGCATAAACAGCAATATTGGCACCCAATCAATACCTGATCAGTTAGTAAAAGAGGGAAGGTTGCATAAACTGGATATCTGTTTCAGCCTGTTGTGGTGCAGAGGGGGATTACGGGTGCACATCATGTGCATGGGTTGAGGTTCAATCTTTCAGGAAATGGGTCACTGGCTAGGTAAATATGGAAACCACTTTGTCTTTAAATTAATCTGCTCTGAATACTAGTGCGGGGGGGGGGCAACAACAGGGTTTAAGCGTTGACCTCCATGCCTTGCTTGTAGGCATTCTAGAAATGTCGGATTGGTCACTGTGTGAAATAGGATGCTGGGCTAGCTGGACCACTGGTCTGATCCCACATGTTCTTACATTCTAACAAAGCAGCTTCTTTTCGGACTCTGCAATGAATTCAAGATGACAGCATGGAGAAGGAAAGGATTATAATGTTCCTTTATTCCCATGCCAGTCTCCCCCTGGAGATTGCAGCCCTAGGAGCAGCTATCTGTAAAAGGGGGAAAGGTCTTAAAACAAGTACATGAAATGTGTACTTCCCAGGTGAGACTACACTAACAAGTAATTTTAGAATTATGTTCCACTTCTGAGACAGAGAAATTAACAGAATCCTTTTTTTCTTTCTGAATTTCTGATTTTTCTTTTCTAGCCCATGGAACAGAACACTTAGTGAAGCAGGAGTGCTTCTTCCCCCAGAGGTTACCTGAGGGTGGAGGAGGAAGGGTGAAAAGTCATAGACTTCTAGCTCTTGTGCTATTTATGCAATACTAATGTGTGTGTGTGTGTGTGTCAAAATGCAATGTGTTTCTCCTTTTCCCAGTATCTCTTGTGCCTGATGTGTGTGGGGGGGACACACACACACACACAAAAATGCTAGCTCATCCATAGGTATCTATAAATGGAAACACAATTTTGTTTTGAGTGTTATAAACACAGCAGGAACTAGTTTTTTGGGGGGGCGGCAGCAATGGTAAAAACAACCCCTTAGAATACTGACTGACCGTGTTAAACTTTCCACAGTAGGGGAAACTTTTCTAACTTGGAAGAAAAATATGCTGAGGCAGGCCGTAATAACAAAGGGAAAGACCACTTTCTCTATGATCATGGGGTATAATCAAAATTCGCTGAGTGGAGTATCCAATTCTGATACACTGACTCAAGAGACAGTAGTTACAACACTTGTGAGCTGTAACCTTTCCTGAAAGAAAGCACCTGGGCCACTCTTTAGTTCTGTCAGACACGATTGACCCAGGGAGGTCAAAGACAGTTTGTCAAAGGATTTCCCTGACCATAGACTAGCATAAGATACTCATTCACTTGCCCTTCTCAGTCAGCTTCCAAGCCAGGGTCCCACCAACACAGCACAGAGTTAAATTGTTATACTTGAAACAAAAACCTCTCAGCTTGACTGTGTTACGGTGAAACCCAGGCACTAGAAAACAGAGAAAGCGTAAGCAGTAAGTTACACAGTTAACAGTAGTTTCAGCTTAACATCTCTTTGTCTCTTTCTCTTTGTCTGTATTTTGGTTTGGTGAAGTGCTGGTTTGTAAGATTTTTGTAAGTGTATGTGCGTACGCATAGGTTTGTTTTAGAGAGCTTTTGAAGAGTGCCAGGCCCTGGACTGGTGGTTGGGATATGTTATTAATTTATGTAATTTAGTTATGTAATTTAGTGTTATGGTGCCTTGGCTTATTCGGCTGGTTCAGCCACTTGTGGAGAATCGTGCTTCAATCACTGGTAGCTATTGGTTAAATGTTATTACGGGAACTATGAAAAAAAGAAAGAGAAAGAAGAAAGTGGAAGAACAAATTACAACAGGAATCAAGTGACACAGCCTTCGCCAAAGCTCAGTACCCTTACTTCGAAAAGTCATACAAACCAGAGTAAGAGAGGCCAGCGATCTGCACGTAAAGATCCTCTTCGGAGAAACTTTCAGGTAACATAAGGAAAGATGCTGTGACTGCACTCTTCAAGTTGCTGGAAAGAGCAGCCTGGAGTTTGCCGTTCTCATTCTGGGCAAGGATCTTTACCTGAAAGTAGTGATCAGAGGATGGGCAACAAAACAGACTAAAAAGACATCACTTAACACAAAACAAGACAGCTCCAAATGGAGCACAATGATCTTGAGATTTTTAATTGGCTCTTATTCTTAAAGCAGAACACTGTCTACGTAAAGAAAACATCCCCTATAGGGATAATTACACACCTATAATCATTCAATATTCAGGGGGTGCAGTGACTTCAGTGAGGAGCTTGTTCTTAAACGCAGGGCTGTTTTGATGTAATGACCTTTTTTTTTTTTTACAACCAACTGTAGCCTAGTTTCCCAGTCTGTAGGATCCCACTACGATAGGATCTTTACCTATATACTCTTCTATTCCTAGACGTACCAGAATCTGATTTTGGGTGGAACTAAGAAGAAAAAAAAGCACACACTCCTCAGCCCTGGGGAGAAAATGGCATTGTTTGTGACTGACACGGAGATATACTCTAGAAAGGCTGAAGTAGAGGATGAGAGCTGGGATCCACCTTTAACCTCCAGGTGGCAATATGGGACCCACTGAGTAGCAAGCAAAATGAAGTCAGGTGACATCACAGCAATACTGACAGGAAGAGAAGAAGCCCGAGTTATGACCTCTTCAGCATCCAGGACAGTACCACGGGCAGCAAACCAAGGCATTCAGGGTCATGAAAGTACTAGGACATGCACCGCAGTGGGGAGACATCCCACCCCAGAAGCTCTCCCATACCTTCTTTCTCCCCCTCCCCCACTGTACAATGTTATTAGGCCACACAGAACCTGTCCGTGAGAGATCAGCTCTCCCGGGGACAGGGAACTCCTGGGTACAGCACTGGGGGCATGACCGATGGATATTCCGGCTGGGTGGGGAGCAGGAGAAGACAAGGGAGAGGTGGCCCTGCCTGTGCTAAAAAGAATCCTCTCCACCACTGAGTGATCCTGTCCTGCCATCCTGCTGCTCCTCTAAGTGTGCTGCTTCTCCACACGCGTGCACTACCAGCTGAACCTTCCCCCCCCCAAAAAAGCACAAAAATAAAAAGGCGTCACAACCCAGCAGGTGGAGCCCTGCAGCCCATCAGAGGTCCCAACAGCTTCATACCTAAGGACTTATTTCTTTTAGACACGTAACAGGGTAAGTGACAAACTGCCACTTTTAAAAATGCTGTCGTTAAACCTAAGATGCTGTGAAATTAGCCTTATGTACCTCTGGAAAATTCTGGGCTTTTTTTTTTTTTCTTGAATAGCAGCTTTTCTCCCAATAGCAAATGGTTTTGGAAGCAAAGGCAGATTTCAGACGTTTGTGATATGGCATGGCTGTCAGCTGTTCATAATCAAGCATTCCCCTGAGGGGGTTCAAATCCATCTCTAAGAAGCTATTGGACCTTCGCCTGCATTTCTCTGCTGTAGTTAAGAGAGCTTAAAAACTGCCATTGTTTTATCAGTTGACTTCTTGAGTTACTTGAACAAAGTTAACCCATGTCCAGTCACTGCGTTTGCCGGCTGATTTAATTTGAAGCTGTACACAACGACATTAACTTTTTCCACAGAACAATCTGCACTTGTTTAATGCAGCATGCTTTGCTCCTGGCTTTCCAGGGTTGGCACAACACACTGTGCACAAAAGTATCACCTCCGGCTTAATTACCAATTTCCCTCTAAAAATCCCATATGATGATTTCAGACCAAAGGAGACGGCTGAAAGTAAATTTCGAAACAAGCAAGTTGGCCGCTATTATTATAGTGTGCAGCTCTGCAGACATGCAGAAGGTCTATAGCTAAAAGTCAGTCCATGACAAAGGGATGATTGTATCCAGAACCGTACAAGTTTAAACCAGAGTCGATGATATATATTTCTGAATGCAACCCTGGAGACCCAAAATGAATCTTTGGGGTATACAGTATCATTATTCTTCCATTATCTCCCGCTGCATTTGAAGTGTGGTTTTCGTTAGCAACATAAAATCTGAACCATCTGAACAGTTAAAGGTAGACCGGTCCTGGGAGAGGCCATTTGGAACACATGTTTTTAATTCATTCTCCTGCATGTTTTTAAAAGACTAATTTTACAAATAAGCATTTTAGGGAGCATTTTCCCAACTGAAGGCAGAGGGAACAAAGCCAGCATCATTTCCCAGAGTTGAAAATGGCAGCTGAGAAGACAATAGGCAACTGTAGTGGAAGACAGCTGCCTTTGCCATCTGTCCGCAAGGGCCAAATTGCACAGCCAGTTGAATGACCCCACGGCTAAGTCACCTCTACTGAGGACCACTGTGTCTGTGTGCTTGGAAAGCTCCCTCTGTGAATGCGTAGTTGTTTGGACAAGTGAAAACACACAGTACGAAACATGGCCCCATAACGGTCTCCTTTGACCAGATTTGTACTAAGATAACTGTTGTCCCTGTTGTCCTGTTTTCATGTGACTAAATTCTGAGCATGCTCCTGGATGGCAAGATCAATCACAACCGTGTAGTGAGAATACAGGAACCTCCCAAGCAGCACATTCCTCTGAAATAAATACCAATGAGTTTAATTGAGCTTATTTCCAAACAAGCGTACACAAGTGTACAGACAGGCAGCTCCAACCTCAGACCTGAGGCCAGTGGAAAGCCAGAAGTAGTGTGGCCCTGATGCTGCTAGCTGGCGTTCTGAGGCCATTCAGCAGAGAAGTCAGTGACAGAAAAACCCCTGAGCAAGCCTCTCATCTGATATGAACTCTGACCCCCAAGCAGAAGCTGCGCTGTCATGCTAATACCCCTACGTGGCAGTATTAAATGGTTTCATCCATGTGGACGATAGTGATCCCTCCGATTGTATCTCCCCAAAACACTGATCCCTGCCCACCTAAGATCACTTTTACCTTAAGGTATCATAAGATCCAAGCTCTCAAGCTGTTAACCCAAAGCCCTGTGCTGAAAGATCTGCACTGGTTACCCACCTGCTTCTGGCCACAATTCAAAGGGCTGGTTATGCACTGGTTACCCACCTGCTTCTCGCCACAATTCAAAGTGCTGGTTGTTACCTTTAAGGCCCAACAGCTTGGGGCCAGATTACCTGAAGGACCATTTCCTCCCATACTATACAAGCTTGCTGGTTAAGATCTGCCTCTCCTGCTCTTTGTGCTGCGCCCCCCCGCCCCTTTTCAGAGGTTAGGCAAGTAGATACTAGAAACAGGGCATTTTCTGTGGCGGTACCCAGCCTTTGGAACACCTTCCCATTTGAGGCTCTCTTGGTGTCCACTTTAGTTTCTTTTAGTTGTTGTTGTTCAGTTGCACAGTCACATCTGACTCTTCGTGACCCCATGGGCCACATCACGCCAGGCCCTCCTGTCTTCCATCATGCTCCGGAGTTTGCTTAATTTCATGTTCGTTGCCGCGACAACAATGTCTAACCATCTCATCCTTTGGCCTCCCCTTCTTCTTTGACCTTCAATCTTTCCCAGCATCAGGGTCTTCTCCAGTGAGTGCTCCCTTCTCATTTGGTGGCCAAAGTATTTGAGCTTCAGCTTCAGTATCTGGCCTTCCAGGAAACAGTCAGGGTTGATTTCTTTTAGGACTGATTTGATCTCCTGGCAGTCCAAGGGACTCTCAAGAGTCTCCTCCAGCACCATAATTCAAAAGAATCTATTATTCGGCGCTCAGCCTTCCTTATAATCCAAGTCTCGCAGCCATACAGTACTACTGGAAATACCACTGCTTTCTTTTAGGTTTCTTTTAGGCACCAGGCCAAAACATATCTTTTTTTACCTGAGCTTTTAATTAGGGGGTTTACCTTACCAGGTTTTTAATGGTCTGCTCCTGTTTTTATGTTACTTGTGTTTTATTGTAAGCTGCTTGAGCAGCAAGCTGAAGAGGTAGCAAAGAAACGTTATAAATAAATAAACTCATTAACAGGTGGACTTGTATCACCTGAAACAGTGAGCTCAAGACAGATTGTCACCCTTCTGAACCATCAATGGGGGCTAAAACTGGAGATGGCAAGTAGGCTTGAGCTATGCCTGTTTATCGTGCTGGCAAATTATGTATCTGAAAGGAAGGGCATGTGAGAGCTGCTGGTTATCTCAGACTTTATTTCAGTGGCGTATTTCACTCGAACAAAGTCTTTTAAGTCCCTCATTCTACTAACAAACTGAGGGGGAAAACATATTTCTGACAGTCATATAAATTGCTGTAACAGAACAATCTCCCATCCTGCAACTTTCAGGTACACAAAGAATAAATACTGGTGGAGGTGGCTTCAGCTGTCTCAGTTACTTAGTGGGGGCTAAAACTGGAGATGGCAAGTAGGCCTGAGCTATGCCTGTTTATCGTGCTGGCAAATTATGTAACTGAAAGGAAGGGCATGTGAGAGCTGTTGGTTATCTCAGACTTTCTTTATTTCAGTGGCATATTTCACTTGAAACGAGTCTTTTAAGTCCCTCATTCTATTAACAAACTGAGGGGGGGAAATATATTTCTGACAGTCATATAAATTGCTGTAACAGAACAATCTCCCATCCTGCAACTTTCAGGTACACATAAAGAATAAATACTGGTGGGGGTGGCTTCAGCTGTCTCAGTTACTTCTCTCTCTAGTGGTTAATAACACTGCTAAACAAGCGAATTCTTTCAATGTAGTACTCCCCCCCCCACGCAAAACAGTTGTATAGATATTTTATATTGTTAAGTGCGCATTTGTATTGAAAAACTCCACAATATTTAAGAATGTCCTTTTCTTCCAGTTATAATTTTATGTACAGGTTGTATAAATCCAACCCCACAACCGCCTTAGGAGCAAAAGAAGACTTCAACTGGCCATCATCTTAAGGGCAGCTGATATCTTACAGGTTTTCTTGAGGTACCTGTGCACTAAGATGGCAGTCAGGAATTCAACTTATGATCTGGGGTATCGTATTGCAAGAAAAGCAGAATGGGAACTTCTTTGATTAATCATACATCTAAGTAACCCTCCCCCTCACAGATCATAAATCCACAAAGGGGTCACAAAGGGTTTTAAAGCATGTTTCCACAAACC